TGCTGTGTCTGTGCAGCAACATGACAATAAACCTGATTTGATTTGTAAAGCCATCATCATCACAAAGGACGACTAAACGTATGATTCATTCTCTTCTCTTAACGCCTCCTGCAAATTTACATTTTCAGCCTCCGTAACCTCTTGCCTTCTCCTGCCTCTCAAAACTTAGAAGGAGATCACAGCAATTAACCACAGTGGGTCCGGCAGCTCCGACTTACTCTGATGAACTCAATTAGGGTGTTGTAGACGAAGGCCCCCTTAGGCAGGAAGAAGCAGCTCCCTGGACTCAGGTCATGGAAGAAGAACAGGTCCTGCTCCTGAATGAGAAAGAAGAAGAAAAAAAAAAAGTTTGTGATGGAAAATCAAAAAGAGCCACTGCTCGGGTCAAACTGGTTTCAATCTAAAATAATGAAACACCTCATCATGCATCAGACAATGTACTGGCTTGCTTTTCCACACCTGTTATTGAAAGAACGGCAACACACACACACACACACACACACACCCTGAAGCCACAACTCACTGCCAACACTGAACACAAATCTATTACTGGTACACCCAACTGAATCCTGTCTGATGCAAATGTGATCGCTCACAGCTGCAAATGGGTCACTGGTACATTTTTTAATCATCCCGTAGACGTGTGAATGAACAATATGTGTCACTGCACAATTCACCGAGTAATACTTCCTCAAGTGTTGGTCTTTTTAAGGAACGCTGCTACAAACTCACCAGGATTCAGAAACGGTTCAGAAACGGTTCTCATAAGGTTTGCTAACATCAGACATCAATCCCGGCTCTTAGATTTTAGAAGCATTCCACCCGTATTTCATATTTGTTTTGACTGCGACTCGGCGAACATCCTGTAAATAACACGTCTCTGCGACAATAAAAGCTGTCTGAGACTTTCTCTCTAACTGACAACTTATTTATTCCTACCCGGCCCAGTTTGCGGTGATCTCTGTTCTTGGCCTCCTCCTGAAACTTCTCCCACTCTTTCAGCATTTTGGGGTCAGGAAAGGAGATTCCATAGATCCTCTGGAGGGTTTCCATGTCGGCCTTTCCCTCCCAGTACGTAGAAGAATTCTAGCGCACAAAAAAAAAAGAAAAGCGTGTACGTTAGCTTTCATCATTCATTTGAGTCCATCAGATCCCTTGAGGGTAAAACATACGCAGGGTAACGCTGCTCTGGAAATGGGGACAAATGTGCTCACTGCCAGGCATTCAGGGCACAGACTACGGTGCTTAAAATCCTTTTCTGGTTTAATTAACAATAATTCCAGCAGCTTGCGTTACGCACTAACCTTGTGGATCTTCAGGGCCTTGATTTTTCCGGTGTGTCTCACGTGGGGGCCTCGACACAAGTCGATTAAAGGTCCGCATCTGAAAGCAAGAACGTTCGTTACAGGAATGCTAAACAGGAGCTGTGACTGGGCTACAGCAGGCAGAACTGTACATGTTTGTTTATGACAACAACAAAAAAGGATACTCAGAAAAGAAAAGTACATTCCTTGGTGCTTCATGACTTCTCTTTGTGACACTCGAATACAAAGACTTTAAAACCTGACAAATATATATTTTAAATCTTTAAAAAAAAAAGGACAGAAATCCTAAAACAACTTGGCTCTGGAGTTTCAAACAAATGTTAATGTCAAACAGGAGTAAGCAGAGCACATACTGGGGCCTATTTTCAGTTTGGTGAGTGGCTTTCTGGCAGCAGTATGGTGTAAGTGGCATTAACTTAAAGTAAACAGCGCCGAGTCACGACGGTATGGATGGAGACGGAGGGGGAACTTCACCACAAACCCAGAGCCAAACTCCAGCACCGCT